TATAAATTAAGTGAAAGACGTAGTTCAATTAATTCTGACAACCTAAACGCATTCTTAATTATTCAACTTAATTCTGAATAAATGAATAAACAGAACACTTCATTATTTTTTTCATTCTGGTTAAAAATTTCAAGAAGATCTAACGTCAAAAAAAAAAACATATTCCCGTAAAAGATAATTTGCGCCGACCTTTTCAGTGAATCGGTCTTTTAAAAATCGCACTGAGTGAGCGTCAGTCGCGTCAGTCCTCGGTAAAAGAGAGGTAGAAGAGCGCGCCATACGAACAGCTAACGTAAACCAACATACTGAAAACCAAAGCAAAGAGAGACGACGTCGGCTGTTAAGAGCGAGAGCGAAGATTCATAATTTTTTCTATTTTTCGCACGAGTAGAGCGTAGGGGAAAAACGGTTAACAGTTATTTGCAAGCTATGCTATATAGTTATCGTTGTCGTCTTTGTTTGGCGGTCAATTAACAGTTTACTTTTGGAATCTGGTGCAGATTTCCGACTATAACAAGTGCTTCAATTCCATCAAAAAGTTTATGAGTCATACCATTACGTTAAGCTACACTTTGTCCAAAAAGGAGTCTGGAACTAATTGGAGGCTTTAGACCCCCACCACTCATACTTACCTACCCTTGCAGAGAGATATATGATTTTATTGAAATGTTTGAAGGGTACGTGAGCCATACATATGTATTTAACAGCATAAAGTATATACTTACTAAATCCTTTTAAAATAATATTTAAAGTGTAAAATGTATCCAGTTTACATAATTTATTTATTTTTACCTTATTAACACGTATGTTAAGGTGTATTTCCCATATAAAGTCTCATATTTTTTCGGTTTTTTTTTATATGCAAACTGCAAGAGTCTAAATTTCGGGATTCCGAAAGTACCTTCCTTCCTGATTTCAATTTAAAACTCGCCTCTATGTCCTTGCATTGTCCTGCCTCTTAATCATTCAGTTTTTTTTTTTTTTTTGCTTGCTAACGAAGTTCACAAAGGCATTGGCCCAAATTTCCGACAAAATTCTCACTGCAGGGCGGTCCTGGGTAGTATGCTCTTCCTGCCTTCTTCTCTGCTCGGCCTGGACGTCAGTTAGCGTACACTGGTATTACATAAAATTGGTCATACGCACTGAGCTCGGTTTCATTATATTCCAGTATCCCTGCCAGCTTGCCTCGGTGTTGCCCAGTCCTTGGACAGGAATGCTGACAATGGGTTTCTTTCTTTTCGATTCGTTGGGCTGCTGGGCAGTGACACGTTTGCTGGGAGGATGCAGCGAAGTGAGAGCATTCATGCCGCAGCCACGAGCTGGGCGAGACAAAACCGTGCAGCAGACTTTCCACAAAACTAGCCGAGAGCTATCAGGCTGTACGTCTGCCCGTGTCGGGTGCGTATGTGTGGCTTTGGGATTATTTATGCTCCTGTGCTGTTGTTGTTTACTTTAATTGCCACTCACTGCTGCCCAACAACGTCCGCACTGGGCCCACGGTCTGAATTATATGCTTGATAAATTGCTGCTGCAGCAAATCATCGTCACCGTGGGTCTGGGCGTAGGAGGAGGCGTTGTCGTCGTTACCGGGCTGGCCAAGAATTACTATGTATGTATTTATACTGTACAAGTATCTGAATTTGTGATTTTTAAAGACAGACGTCTGCTTCTATGTGGTAAGACCTAAGAGCAGCCGATTTACATTTACATTTGAAGGTTGGATTTCCGGTTCTATATTTATTTGTATTTTAGTCCCACTACGAAGGAACGATCACTGACACACGATTAGCAAATAAAATATAAAAACAAGAAAGGAAGCTAACTTCGGCATCGCGAAGTTTGTATACCCATGAAGTTTTCAATTGGATCATTAAGAATCGAGCCATTCTGGTTAAATTAATAGAAAAAAATGTATATTTATACACGGCATATAATAATTTGGTTATATTATAAATTTAAATGCTGGAAACACACACAAAACTGAGTTTCATTACCTTTTAACTGTACTACTTATTATGTTTACTGTTTGACAGTTACAGTTTTACATTCCCAGCTTTACATTTTACATTCTACATCTACCGATCGTTTCTATGGCAGCTATATCATATAGTTGTCCGATTTTCATAAAACATACCAAAATTCTGAAATAATAAAAAAGCTCATATCTCAGAGTAGATGAATATATTATAGAGGAGAGTGAGGATAGGTGAACCACGGTGATAGATATTTCACCTTCTGTCATGATTTGGTGCGCAGTAAAGGTGATCTTTCCGACCCTATATGGTAAAGTATACATATTCTTGATCATCATCAACAGCCAAGTCGATCTAGCCATGTCCGTCTGTCTATCTGTCCACCTGTCCGTTTCTACGAAAACTAGTTAAAAGCTATCTGAATGAAACTTTGCACATAGTCTTCTAAATACTCTTACTGCTATATATGTCGTAACGGGCCGGATCGGACAACTATATCATATAGCTGCAATAGTAATAAGTATAGCTAAAGTGAAATGAAACTCTGTTTTGTGTGTGTTTTCAGCATTCAAATTTATAATATAAATCAAAACCAAATTATTAAATGCTATGTATAAATTTACAACTTTTATATATTTTATTTTATTTTTTTTTATTAATTTGACCAGAGTGGCTCGATTTTTAATGATCCAATTGCAAACTGCAAGGGTATACCAACTTCGGCGTGCCGAAGTTAGCTTCCTTTCTTGTTTTTGTTTGATTTTGATGCTGAGGAACTCTTAGGTGTTTAAAACGGCAGGGTAGCCTGCTTCAAACTCAGGGGCAGGAAATTTAATTTTTGTATTTGGGAAATTTTCTCTTTCTGTATGTGTTTCTCTTAGTTATTTATACCTACAAACCGCATGGCGATGCCATGGAGGAAGGATTCGTTCGCATTTCATAGAGCTCCCTTGACTTGCATTTATTGCCTGAGCTTGTAAACATGACATTTCCATATTTATCTCCATGTGGCCTCCTCACCCTCGGACATAGGGAGCGAGGGAATCACGTCAGCTTATCTCCATACTCTCGGTATTTTAACCAAAACTGCACGTTACGGAACTCGCAAGTTGTTCTTCACTTTAAATAATTATTTGAAGCGTATCAAATGGAGATTTTTTACATTTCCTATCTGGTAATGCCATCGAGAATTCTGTTGCCTTGTCTGCCGAAATCAATATTTATTAGAGGATAATGGCGCCCAGGTCGGCTGTGTACAGGTGGCCGACAAGACCCCCCGCCCTGTGCTGTTCTTCGTTTCGGTTTTGTCCCACCTCTTTGATGTTTTCCGAAACAGTGGTCAGGAGTGGATGGCTTTTGTATGGCTCGGTGAAGGGACTGCCAAATTGAATAAACTCGCTTTTCGGTTCATCCCCTGACGGTATTCGATAAATATATTCTCCGAAATATTGAGGTTGACAAGACTGTCCCTTATGGGTGTTACTGAACATATATGCCACTGCTGCCAACAGCCAACTTAATAAACAGGAGACAAATGAAAACACAAGAAAGGAAGCTAACTTTGGCACGCCGAAAAAGTTGTATATTTATACTTAACATATAATAATTTGGTATATATATTTATGTTATTTATTTAGTGCAGTATATATTTTTATTTAAGTATTTATATTAATGGGTGTCAATAGCTCAGACTAAAGAAAATAAGTTATATTAAATAAAATAAGACAGATATTTAAACATGATGTGTTGGAAATTATTTTCGGCGAGACCAATACAATCTTTTTCTGAAAGGATATTTTGTACGTGGAGACGAAAAGACTGCTCTGACCCTATGGCTGCTCAGAGTCGTTGTATATATCGACGCATTTTCGCGAAAGTATCGTATGTCGATAAATCCAATTTTACAGGAGAAGCTTTTTTGTGCTTTAATCTCTTAGGAAGCACTATAGAAAAGACAAAATTGAAACTGAATTTTTATCGGAACTATAGGGGTTTCAGTTATAATATTTCACAGGGTAGTGAGACATTAGGTGCCTAACAATTTTGCATTAAAATCTCAATTTCGAAAAAAAGCGACATACGATACTTTCGCGAAAATGCGTCGATATTATTGAACTTTTTTTTCTCTGTCTGTGGTAAGAGTGATCCGGATCCTTTTGTGGATCCGGTGGCTCACTCGCCTGTAAGGGACATAATAAGTATACCTTATTTGCCAAAATCATATTTATGCTGGGTATAACGAAGGTTTTTATAATATGCGCACATGTATACATACAAATTTCGAATAACAATGATCAGCTTAAGGGGGGATATACATGTAAACCAAAATTTGTTGGGCAAATTTTTTTTTTGGTTTAAAAAATAGTTTATTATTTAAAGAATATAGTGTGTAAGTTTCATTATCGAATTCCAACTCTAAGTGCCTCAAATCAAGTATGCACGCAAGGTTCACAAGTGTTAACGTGGGCGCATCAAAAACTTTAAACGTCTTTTTCTCAGCTTCTAATTTTTGCATTTCTACCTATGCTCTGGACACGATTCACAAAAAACTATGTAACATATCGGAGTGAATCAAAAATTGTTATAATCAGCATGAAATTATCTTCTATTTGAACCTACATGGTTGTTATAAAACTGAGTATTACTATTTTTTAAGAGGGTGGGAAGTGAAAACTGATCACCTGAAAATGGCATTTTTTCCTTGAAATCAAAATTTATTTTTTTTGTCTTGATTTCTTTTTGGTTTTTTAGGTTCAAATAGAAGATAAAGGTGTAATGAATACAAAAAAATTTAGTTTACGGATTTCAGACAGGAATTACGAGCTCTATCGTGTCCATAGCACGGCAAATCAAAGCTCGAGGCGCTACGGCATATGTTCCATAAGTCCGCCATTTTGTAAAATATTGTTTATAACTAATTTTTTTTATCATCTCTGATTCTACTTTTAACTATATCCAAAGTTTCACGACGATTGCTTGACTATTTCTTATAAAAAAAAATTCACGAAAAATTGCAAAATTTTGACCGCTTACATGTATATCCCCCCTTAACATGGCGGCCCGTCTTCAATATTCTAGGTAGATAAGGTAATGAACACATTGCATGTGTGGCTACAGAAGCAGGACAAAAAATGTTCTAGAGGGGCAGAGGGGAAGTGTAGTTGGAGTACACAGTCTTATTTTTATATGTAACACAGAAATCCAAGTTCATTGTTTTATCAGGAAAATATTGAGAAGGGCACAAATCAAAGCAGGTTACTGTTAGAAGTCACTGCGGTACGGAAGGAGGGCAATAGCTTAACCTCAAAATCTTTGGTGTGCAACTCGTCCAGTAATTGTTATTTAACGCATCAGTAGGAATGTCCTACTGTAAACTTGTAGAACGTCACTCCTTCCGGGTTAACTCGCGTGATAAACTTATCTTTTGGTTTAAAGAAACCTAAGCTATGGTTTTTATTGAATAAGTCCTGCAATGACAACTAAAATCAGTCTTTGGTTTCCGAAATTATTGCCAAACTTACCACCACCCAATATCCCATGCTACTTTGTAGACCAAGGCGAGACAACAACACATGGAATGTTTGCGGACACAAAGGGCAGACACCAAAGCCCCCCAGGTTGACGAATGCTACTGCAAACGAGCTCTCGCCATAGTCGTTAACCGGTCTTACGGGGCGGGCCCAAACCTGTAAGTTTAAAATAATTGGGTGAATCAAAGAAACAGTAAACAAAATAAGGAAGCTATCTTCGCGACGTCGAAGTCGTTATACTCGTGCAGGTTCCAATGGGGTTATAGAGAATTTATCCGGTTGAGCGAAATATAAAAAGGAAACACCAATAGGAAAGATATACATACACATACACATAAATATAGATTAATTTTTAGGTTTAGCACAACGACTCAAAAACTAGTCCGCATAATAATTTACAGGCAGTCAAAAATACAAAATTAAAAAGCCCTGCAAGGGAAAGAAAGGAGAAAAGGCTTACCTGTATATTTCGCCATTGCAGAATCTTTTTTCCAGACAAACCCAGCGGGTCCTGATCAATCGCTACTATATCGCGGTTCTGTAGCAGCTCCTTTACTTCTGGTCGTACGGTTTCCAAGTCGTTGGTCATAATCAAAGGAGCCGCAAGCACAGCCCAAATAGCCATTTGCAGGCGGCTGGCATCATAACTCAACCGAAAGTTTCCCAGAACAAGCTAAAGGAAATGGATGATAGCCTCAATAAGGGCGTTGGCAGATGATAAAAACATTACCATGTCAGGATCATTCCAGCGACCAGGGCCAGAATGCGCGGTCAAAAGATTCTGAATGCTAGAGAATCGCGTCATTATATTAGTCACCGATGTCAGCGAGTCCTTTACGTCTTCTGCGAACCGCCAAAGATTACAATGTTGCGAAATTATTGAGTAGTCTGGCTGAAAGTAGATGCCCTCGTTGAGTGGCAGAACGATTCACACCTTTGAAACTTACCTGTGACTTATAAAATGGCCAACTGCAGGAGTACACAATGGGACGACCCGTCCTGTTCAGTGCCCTGCCAAATGCGGGATAGCCTCTGTCGAGGTCCGCATCGCTTGCATAACAACCATCCATCTTTACGTAATCGACGCCCCAGTTGGCGAATGTCTGGGCATCTAGGTCAAAATGTCGAGCAGCTCCAGGTCCCCGGAACATGCAGGTCTTCTCACCTATATCGTGGTAAAGTCCAAATTTCAGCCCTAGGCTATGAATCTGTAAGGCATTAAAGGTATGTAGCTAACTAATGGCTTTTAATACTCCACTTACATAATCACCGAGAGAACTCATACCGGTGGGGAATCGCTCCAAACTCGGCAAAAGCTCGTGCGTAGTCTCGTCGCGAGAGGCTTCCATCCAACAGTCGTCGATTATTACATACTGATATCCCACAGCGGCGTACCCCCCGGATATCAGCAGCTCCGCTGTACGTTTGATGAGCGTCTCGCTAACAATAGGAAACAACTTTAGGAGTAACGAGAAAATATACTGATGCCTAATCCACCTGATGCAGTCCCTCGGAAAACGAGCGCAGTCCGTCATGCAGCGAAACCTCTCAAACGGCATCCAGCCCATCGGCGGGGTTCGTGCCAGTCCGTTCTCGAGTCCATCTGCTACGCAATAAAAACTGATCGCTACCAGCAAAAGAGCCATTTGCAACGAAATGTTTCTGGCCGACATCATAAGCAGAATCGTAAAATTATTTATACAGGTGGCTATGAAAATTTGCATGTTTCGCTACTGCACTGCCGTAATTAACTGCTGATATTAAAATTGCGAAACTAATTTGGTAAGATTGTATAAAGAGGAAAGAGAGGAGTATATTGAGGTTTGGCATCACTAACGATTCAATGTTCTGCAGCTCATCCAAAATGTATGAAACGTCTATCGTGTTAGACAATAAATTTGTATTTACTGATTTATTACGCAGTGATACATTAGTTAGCACGGTGATCAACGTTTTGTTAATTTGATACCTAGATTTTAATTTAGATTCTGCACTACGGTACAGTGTACAGTGTTAAAGTCTTTTTATTATTTTTTTTTTAATTTTAATTAAGGTATGGCGTTTAAAAAGATACATTTCCAAGGGTGTCTGTTTGAGAAAAAGGTTTTAAACACAGGAGGTTGCTATTTTGTTGTCTAATTTGGATTTATTACTATTAATATTTGTATTATATATATTATTTTATACACAACAGCACTATACTACATTGTAGCGCCTTTGGATACCCTGTATACCATAGCCAATGGCTACCGTGAAAACAATGCAATTCGTACCGTCCAATTATTCTAGGTTAGATACAAAATCTTCACCTACAGCCCACAGCCATTTAGGCGAACCGCGACCAGACTCACTACAACGAGAGTAATTTAATTTTCCAGCTAATGAATTATGCACGAGGGAAAAGCCCTCGCTCATAACAAATATTTAAATAGCTACACTTGGAATAAACACACTTACTAAAAATAAAAGTGAATTTATTGCTGTCCACAAGTACCGGCCACTGTGGCAAGCAAATAAACCAAAATGCCTTGCACAACCAAGAGTCGGGCAGAACATTTAATTTTCCACCCGTTGGGCCTTTGTTTCACTTCCCGACTCGAACCCACCATTGACCGTCAAATTGTAATCAAATGATAAATGTTGGAAAGGAAACAGAGGTCGACCCGACATCGTCCCCCGACAGGATATGCAGCAGAGCTCCACCGCAGGCCACCACCGCAGAGTTGTTGACAGCGAAAACAAGAGGAGACTACGAAGTGGAACAGTGGCCACTGCCCACAAGGCGATTATCACAGGTTACCGCAATGTGGATGGGCAAGCCGCGCCCTCCATGCAAAGGATGATTCTTCTCGGAATTAAGGAAAGACGACGCATTCTGCTGGGGAGTGTGGAAAAGAGGAACAAGCAACTGTATCAAGTCGCAGGACAATGATTTCAATTTCTGCGCTTTTGTGTTGGGCCCCGTTCGGTTTTATGGCTCAGGGTACGAAAAGAAAGAAAAAGTAAACGTCCAACTAAGGCGAAGACAGTAAATGAAATGGGAGTTGGTATGAATGGCCGCTTGCCGCAAAAAAATTAAAGTAAACTCAAATCCAGGCAAGACCCACGCACAGATGCTACTGCTGTAACCAAGCCGAGAGCAACGTAAGGGCCCAGGAGAAGGCACTGAAAACTTCTCCTTCTCGTGGATAGTGCGTCTGAATAAAATATAAACCTAAGCCAAGGTTTGCGGAATGCCATTCATGACTCTGCACAGAGATAAGGAACGGTGGCCTTCGTCTGTCTTTTAACATATTTTCATCTACTTTAAAAAATTGATATTTTGTATTATTTATTTTTTATTCAGCATATATATATAATTAAATATATATAGAATTAAATTATATTAAATAATTTAAACCATTTACATGCTTTGTAAATGTTTTATGGAGTGGAAGTATTTGGACACTGCGACACACGCGATATGCACAAGCTGGCTGTAGCTTTGAACTCAATTGTACGGTATGTCTTTAATCTAAAACGACTTGACCATGTATCAGTGATACATAGGTAGAGCTAGGTTTTATCTATGATTTCCCACAATTTCCCCTTTTATAGTTTTTCCCCTTTTCCTTCCCCTCTGGACCCTAATTTCCCCTCAAAAGGGGAAGTTCCCCTCATTGTGGAAACACTGTGTATCACACTTGACTAATAAAATTCTTGATCTAAACTTGACCTCGTGGATTCGCTATAGGACTCTATTATATTTCCACAAAATTGTGATATCCCAAGAACCAACATACTTGTTTGACAAACTCAAATCTGCTACCTCAACTAGAACGAATAATTATATATGCCCAAGATATATTTCGCTGTGCTCGAATAGGCAATTCTTTACACTCATAAAAATGTTTGCCTAAAATCGCCCTTAAAAAGCCGCTTTTCGCCCGTGTATTTAGAAATTCGCCATAGAAAAGGTTCCAAAGGCGAGTCGCTCTAGACTTGAGAAAATTTGCCCTAAATTTGAGGAAAGAATCTTTCCTAAATCTAGGGCGATTTTTCTTAAATGAAGAAATATTTTCTTGTTTGTAAGGAGATTTGTCCTAAATATGGGAAAAATTTTCCTCAAATTGAAGCTGAATTTTTTCTAACATTTAGAAAGATTTTCTTCAATGTAGAAAAATTGAAGGTAAGTTGCAATTGTTTGTTGTTGCTGCTGTATTTGAAAATAAGCAATAATATGTTTTTGTTGTAAAAATGTTGTTAATAAATATTAATAATAATATTTTTTGTTGTTGTATTACAACAAAAACAATATTATTATTTTTTATTAACAAAGGCGGCCAAAATGCTAACACTTTTGGTGCTGCAAAAGAGACTTGCTCTAAATGTTGGCCGGCCACCGTCACCTCATGCCAGAGACGTTTGAACCAGTTGGGAATTGTATTCGCACGCGTGCGGAATTTGCCTAAGTTTTACGCCATAGTTTTACGAAAAGTTGACGAGCAAAACAAAGAAAATTCTCCCGTATTTTAAGAAAATTCGCCCATAATTAAAAAAAGAAATTGAACGAAGCAAATCAGAAAACCTTGCCCTAAATTTAAGGAAAATAAATAGAAATAGAAAAATTAAAATACACTTTTTTCGTAATTCTAGAAAATTTTTCTTAGTTTAAGGGCGATTTTTTTTAAGGCGATTTTCCTAAAATGCAGAAAAATAATTTTATAAGTGTAGAGACCAAAATAAGAGACCAACGTCTATTCAGGTTAGAGTCATTTAAGGGGTTATCCGGGTTTTGAAACATCAAAAAATGCACTTTTTTCAAAAATTTTTATTATAGTACAAAGTGTCAGGAATGTTGTCCGAAAATATTAAGTCGATCGAAGCAAAACTGTAGGAATGGGAAAAATTTAAAGCCCAGCGCGTCGTATGAGTCGCAACTGGCAATTAAAACTTTTTTTTTGTGCTTTTGCACACTTTTTCTATACATATTTTTGTTGTTGTTGAACGAAGGATTTTTCATATCTTCAATTACAACTGATTTTATAACCCAAAATATGGCTAAAATTTACGTAAAAAGTGACACTTTTCATGAAAAACGCTACCAAAAATTCAATTTTTAATTTAAAAAAAAAATCCTTCGTTCAAAGACAAGCCAGACATATAAGCTAACAGAAAAATATTGTTTTTTTGAATTCCTATAAACATTGACGGAGATATCCTGCCTACCACAAGGATCTTTTAAAAAAAATTCTGGAAAATATGCCTTTTTTTGTGGTTAAAAACCCTTAAGGGGGTCTTCTCATTGAGCAATTTTTTTTCGATTTTTTTTTTTTTTATTTATTTTTATTGGAATTTATTTTATTTATTTATAGCTTGGAATGTTGTGTCTATGTCCCCAAAAGGATTTTTAGAAATTCGAAATACTTTAGAAGATACAGCCTTTTTTGTGAAGCAAGGTCTTCGCAAAATGAGCTATTTTCAAACTTCAAACGCGTTTATCTCGAAACCACGTTTTTCGAACTGGCGGCCATAATATCTCCAGTTCAACTGAACCGATTTTCATGAAACAAAGTGGAATCGACGCAGAATTGTCACCATTCTCAAGTGACGGAAGGGATTTTTTTAAACTTTTTTTTTATATTTTTTTTTACACTAAACTAAAAAAAAAACCCGAAATCGAATTTTTTTTTTAATGGCCACCATTTTGTTTAAAAAAATTTTAAAAATTTTTCCTCCGTCACCCTAGAATGACATCTATTCTGATTATAACCCCATTTTTTTTTCCATTTCAGACGCTCTGGAGACCCTGAATCGACACCTTTTTTTTCCACCACCAAGTTTGAAGTCTCATTACACTTTGAACAACCCTCGCATCGAGGCAAAAGCAATTTTTTTATTTACTTTGAAAATTTTTTAATAACATAAATAAAAAAGTTTTCAATTATTCTTTGAGTTTTCAAATAAGAATTTTTTTAAAAAGGGTCCGAAAAACAAAAAACGGGTTTTGAATGAGAAGACCCCTTTAATGTAGTAAATCAGTTAAAGCTTAGAACTATCACAGCTGTTATATATATTCATAAAGCTAAACATGGCAATGTTCTAACAGAATATGTAATAATAATAAGAACGAAAAGCAAAGTAAACAAGAAAGGAAGCTTGTGCACTTGCAGTTTGCAATTGGATTATTAAGAATCGAGCCATTCTGGTTCAATGAATAGAAATAAATAAAAGGAAATATATAAAAGTTGTATATTTATACATAGCATATAATAATTGGGTTTGATATATATATTTTAAATTTACATTTAAATGCGGGAAACACACACAAAGCAGAGTTTGATTACATTTTACCATACCTATTACGTTTACATCTACTAATCGTATTTATGGCACCTATGTATATCATATATTTGTCCGATTTTCATAAAATATCTACAAAAATTCTGAAATAATAATAATAGCTTATATCTCAGAGTAGATAAAAACCACCAAGCTATAATTCTTTTCTTTTAATTTCCCGATTGTTTCTATGGCAGCTATGAGATATAGTCGTCCGATTTTCATAAAACTAAGACTGAAATTATGAAATATTAAAAAATGGCGACATCTCAATATTGATGAAAATATATTGCAAAACAGCCAAGTTATCTATATAGGGTCGGAAATGTCTCGTTCACTGTGTTCCAAACATCTGACTAAAATTATAATACCATGCAAGGCTATTAACCGTTCCGGTCTGGACTATCTGCAAAGTTAAATTTAAATAGCTTCTAAACTGAGAGATCAGTTTGCGTAGCAACGGAAAGAGGGACAGGGTTGGATCAGAAATACTAATTCACATCGTTGTAAAACTTCAGACTAAAGTTAGAATAGTAACTCAGATTTAAAGCAATCTGAATGAAAC